TTCCACATCTGTGATGTCTATCACAACATCGTCTGTATATTCTTCGGCAAGTTCGTATACAGCATCTCCATCATCATTAACTTTCACTACTCTAAGCAGCACTAGCATGTATGCAACATCAAGCCCGTCGACTTCTTATCCGTCCACAAGCTCCGCATACACTTCTCCAACTAGTACGTCTATAACACCAAGCTCAACATACACGACTCCAAGCAGTTCTAGTACGTACTCATCGACTAGTACATATACATCTACAAGCTTATATTCGACTTCGAGCTCAACATACACGACTCCAAGCAGCTCTAGTACGTACTCGTCGACTAGTACATATACAACTCCAAGCTCGTCGACTTCTTATACATCTACAAGCTTATATTCGACATCAAGCTCAACATACACGACTCCAAGCAGCTCTAGTACTTACTCGTCGTTTAGTACATATACAACTCCAAGCTCGTCGACTTCTTATACATCTACAAGCTTATATTCGACTTCAAGCTCAACATACACAACTCCAAGCAGTTCTAGTACACACTTATCGACTAGTACATATACGACTCCAAGCTCGTCGACTTCTTCTTATACATCTACAAGCTTATATTCGACTTCGAGCTCAACATACACGACTCCAAGCAGCTCTAGTACGTACTCGTCGACTAGCACATATACAACTCCAAGCTCGTCGACTTCTTATACATCTACAAGCTTATATTCGACTTCGAGCTCAACATACACGACTCCAAGCAGTTCTAGCACGTACACGTCTACTAGTACATATACGGCTCCTAGCTCGTCGACTTCTTATACATCTACAAGCTTATATTCGACATCAAGCTCAACATACACGACCCTAAGCAGCTCTAGTACGTACTCGTCGACTAGTACATATACAACTCCAAGCTCGTCGACTTCTTATACATCTACAAGCTTATATTCGACTTCGAGCTCAACATACACGACTCCAAGCAGCTCTAGTACTTACTCATCAACTAGTACATATACAACTCCAAGCTCGTCGACTTCTTATACATCTACAAGCTTATATTCGACTTCGAGCTCAACATACACGACTCCAAGCAGTTCTAGCACGTACTCATCGACTAGTACATATACAACTCCAAGCTCGTCGACTTCTTATACATCTACAAGCTTATATTCGACATCGAGCTCAACATACACGACTCCAAGCAGCTCTAGTACGCACTCGTCGACTAGTACATATACAACTCCAAGCTCGTCGACTTCTTATACATCTACAAGCTTATATTCGACTTCAATCTCAACACACGCGACTCCAAGCAGCTCTAGTACATACTCGTCGACTAGTAAATATACGACTCCAAGCTCGTCGACTTCTGCTTATACATCTACAAGCTTATATTCGACATCGAGCTCAACATACACGACTCCAAGCAGCTCTAGTACACACTTGTCGACTAGTACATATACGACTCCAAGCTCGTCGACTTCTTATACATCTACAAGCTTATATTCGACTTCGAGCTCAACATACACGACTCCAAGCAGCTCTAGTACGCACTCGTCGACTAGTACATATACGACTCCAAGCTCGTCGACTTCTTATACATCTACAAGCTTATATTCGACTTCGAGCTCAACATACACGACTCCAAGCAGTTCTAGTACGTACTCGTCGACTAGTACATATACGGCTCCTAGCTCGTCGACTTCTTATACATCTACAAGCTTATATTCGACATTAAGCTCAACATACACGACTCCAAGCAGTTCTAGTACATATACAACTCCAAGCTCGTCGACTTCTTATACATCTACAAGCTTATATTTGACATCGAGCTCGACATACACGACTCTAAGCAGTTCTAGTACGTACTCTTCGCCTTCTTATACATCTACAAGCTTATATTCGACATCGAGCTCAACATACACGACTCCAAGCAGCTCTAGTACGTACTCGTCGACTAGTACATATATGACTCTAAGCTCGTCGACTTCTTCTTATACATCTACAAGCTTATATTCGACATCAAGCTCAACATACACGACTCCAAGCAGCTCTAGTACATTCTCGTCGACTAGTACATATACGACTCCAAGCTTGTCGACTTCTTATACATCTACAAGCTTATATTCGACATCGAGCTCAACATACACGACTCCAAGCAGTTCTAGTACGTACTCGTCGACTAGTACATATACGACTCCTAGCTCGTCGACTTCTTATACATCTACAAGTTTATATTCGACTTCGAGCTCAACATACACGACTCCAAGCAGTTCTAGCACATACTCATCGACTAGTACATATACGACTCCTAGCTCGTCGACTTCTTATACATCTACAAGCTTATATTCGACATCAAGCTCAACATACACGACTCCAAGCAGTTCTAGCGCATATTCATCAACTAGTACATATACAACTCCAAGCTCGTCGACTTCTTATACATCTACAAGCTTATATTCGACATCAAGCTCAACATACACGACTCCAAGCAGTTCTAGTACGTACTTGTCGACTAGTACATATACAACTCCAAGCTCGTCGACTTCTTATACATCTACAAGCTTATTTTCGACGTCCAGCTCAACATACACGACTCTAAGCAGCTCTAGTACGTACTCGTCGACTAGTACATATACGGCTCCAAGCTTGTCTACTTCTTATACATCTACAAGCTTATATTCGATATCGAGCTCTACATACACGACTCCAAGCAGTTCTAGTACGTACTCATCGACTAGTACATATACGACTCCAAGCTCGTCGACTAGTACATATACAACTCCAAGCTCTTCGACTTCTTATACATCTACAAGCTTATATTCGACTTCGAGCTCAACATACACGACTCCAAGCAGTTCTAGTACGTACTCGTCGACTAGTACATATACAACTCTAAGCTCGTCGACTTCTTATACATCTGCAAGCTTACATTCGACTTCGAGCTCAACATACACGACTCCAAGCAGCTCTCATGCGTACTCGTCAACTAGTACATATACAACTCTAAGCTCGTCGGCTTCTTATACATCTACAAGCTTATATTCGACTTCGAGCTCAACATACACGACTCCAAGCAGTTCTAGTACATATACGACTCCTAGCTCAACTTCGAGCTCAACATACATGACTCCAAGCAGCTCTAGTACGTACTCGTCGACTAGTACATATACAACTCCAAGCTCGTCGACTTCTTCTTATACATCTACAAGCTTATATTCGACTTCGAGCTCAACATACACGACTCCAAGCAGTTCTAGTACGTACTCGTCGACTAGTACATATACGACTCCAAGCTTGTCGACTTCTTATACATCTACAAGCTTATATTCGACTTCGAGCTCAATATACACGACTCCAAGCAGTTCTAGTACATACTCATCGACTAGTACATATACAACTCCAAGCTCGTCGACTTCTTATACATCTACAAGCTTATATTCGACTTCGAGCTCAACATACACGACTCCAAGCAGCTCTAGTACGTACTCATCGACTAGTACATATACGACTCCAAGCTCGTCGACTTCTTATACATCTACAAGCTTATATTCGACTTCAAGCTCAACATATACGACTCCAAGCAGCTCTAGTACATACTCGTCGACTAGTACATATACGACTCCAAGCTCGTCGACTTCTTATACATCTACAAGCTTATATTCGACTTCGAGCTCAACATACACGACTCCAAGCAGCTCTAGCACACACTTGTCGACTAGTACATATACGACTCCTACCTCGTCGACTTATTATACATCTACAAGCTTATATTCGACATCAAGCTCAACATACACGGCTCTAAGCAGCTCTAGTACGTACTCATCGACTAGTAAATATACGACTCCAAGCTCGTCGACTTCTTATACATCTACAAGCTTATATTCGACATCAAGCTCGACATACACGACTCTAAGCAGCTCTAGTACGTACTCGTCGACTAGTACATATACGACTCCAAGCTCGTCGACTTCTTATACATCTACAAGCTTATATTCGACTTCGAGCTCAACATATACGACTTCAAGCAGCTCTAGTACGTACTCGTCGACTAGTACGTATACGACTCCAAGCTCGTCGACTTCTTATACATCTACAAGCTTATATTCGACTTCGAGCTCAACATACACGACTCCAAGCAGTTCTAGTCCGTACTCATCGACTAGTACATATACAACTCCAAGCTCGTCGACTTCTTATACATCTACAAGCTTATATTCGACTTCGAGCTCAACATACACGACTCCAAGCAGCTCTAGTACGTACTCGTCGACTAGTACATATACGACTCCAAGCTCGTCGACTTCTTATACATCTACAAGCTTATATTCGACTTCGAGCTCAACATACACGACTCCAAGCAGCTCTAGCACATACTCGTCGACTAGTACATATACAACTCCAAGCTCGTCGACTTCTTATACATCTACAAGCCTATATTCGACATCGAGCTCAATATACACGACTCCAAGCAGCTCTAGTCCGTACTCATCGACTAGTACATATACAACTCCAAGCTCGTCGACTTCTTATACATCTACAAGCTTATATTCGACTTCGAGCTCAACATACACGACTCCAAGCAGCTCTAGTACATACTCGTCGACTAGTACATATACGACTCCAAGCTCGTCGACTTCTTATACATCTACAAGCTTATATTCGACATCGAGCTCAATATACACGACTCCAAGCAGTTCTAGTACGTACTCGTCGACTTCTTATACATCTACAAGTTTATATTCGACATCAAGCTCAACATACACGACTCCAAGCAGCTCTAGTACGTACTCATCCACTAGTACATATACAACTCCAAGCTCGTCGACTTATACATCTACAAGCTTATATTCGACTTCGAGCTCAACATACACGACTCTAAGCAGTTCTAGTACGTACTTCTCGACTTCTTATGCATCTACAAGCTTATATTCGACTTCGAGCTCAATATACGCGACTCCAAGCAGCTTTAGTACGTACTCGTCGACTAGTACATATATGACTCCAAGCTCGTCGAATTCTTATACATCTACAAGCTTATATTCGACTTCAAGCTCGACATACACGGCTCTAAGCAGCCCTAGTACGTACTCGTCGACTAGTACATATACGACTCCAAGCTCGTCGGCTTCTTATACATCTACAAGCTTATACTCGACTTCGAGCTCAACATATACGACTCCAAGCACCTCTAGTACGTACTCGTCGACTAGTACGTATACGACTCCAAGCTCGTCGACTTCTTATACATCTACAAGCTTATATTCGACTTCGAGCTCAACATACACGACTCCAAGCAGTTCTAGTCCGTACTCATCGACTAGTACATATACAACTCCAAGCTCGTCGACTTCTTATACATCTACAAGCTTATATTCGACTTCGAGCTCAACATACACGACTCCAAGCAGCTCTAGTACGTACTCGTCGACTAGTACATATACGACTCCAAGCTCGTCGACTTCTTATACATCTACAAGCTTATATTCGACTTCGAGCTCAACATACACGACTCCAAGCAGCTCTAGCACATACTCGTCGACTAGTACATATACAACTCCAAGCTCGTCGACTTCTTATACATCTACAAGCCTATATTCGACATCGAGCTCAATATACACGACTCCAAGCAGCTCTAGTCCGTACTCATCGACTAGTACATATACAACTCCAAGCTCGTCGACTTCTTATACATCTACAA